ATCGAAAAAGGAGAGACCTTCCACATGCGTGTGTCATTTGATTCTTAAATTGCCTTTTGTCTTCATGGCCTCCACTGAAAATTAATTCTACTAATCTCTGTGGAATGCCTAATTTTTTGGGTAAAAACAAAACCGTCAATTTCATAACTAATATTTTTATATAAAAAATATGTAAAATATTTCAACAGTTGTATATACATTTTTCTAATATTGCGACTTTATTATATACATATTTCTAATCCATATGTTTGCATTTGTCCTCAAGATTGCGTCCGTTGCAGAAAAATCTTGCTGATGCAAGCCTGGGATGTTGCACAAGAAATCGAGTCCTTGAAATTGTAAAACAAACCCTAATGAGGGAATATAATACATAAGGATATGGTCCCATGATTTATTTAATTAATTTTATGGAATATAGATTGCATCATGCATGGTCCATGCCCAAATATTAAAATGGAGGAGGTTGCTTAAAGAGAGAGGTGAGTCCTATTGGTTTGTCACACTTCACGTGAAAAAAAAAAAAACAGCAGCAGCTTTGGTTTGATGTGAAAAATTTGAACTTGTTGGGTGAAAGAGAAAATACCATTCACTTTGATTTGACACCAATGAAGAAGAACTTAACTTTTGACTGAAAGTACGGTGCTTAATCGAGGATTTTTTTAAGTATGCATCGTATATATTGCTTTATGCGATGTGTGTTTGAGGGTTCGATTTGGGTGCGGTGATTGTTTGATTTTTGTAACCTTATAAAATTAGGAAAAATAATAAAAAAAACTTAAAAACTTTGAGTTTTAACGATAAAGGTAGAATAAAGGGTAAATGAATAATACCATGATTGACCTTTTAGTGTAAAAATGTGGTGGATAGGTGATTTGGCTATTTGAATTGAGAAGAGATCCTTGTCTGAATAGGTGATTTGGTATTTGAAATTTCATCCAACTGCAAAAAATTATTATAACTTTTAAGGGGTAAAAAATTATGGACCGTTTGATGAAATTTCAAAAGATCGGATCACTTGATCTGGTGGCCTTGGTGGAAGAGATTTGGATAGGATCTCTACTCGTTTGAATTCATGGATTTTGATGTTTTCTGCAAATTGATAGTTAAAGAAAAGCAGGAGGATTCTCTCTCATCTTAATTTCTTTCCTCCTATTAAATCATATCAACATCTTATATTGATTTTTTTATAGAGACAAAAAAAGAATAAGCAAAGTGTGGGAAGAGGAGAGGGAAGGAAAGAGAAATAAGAGGGAAGATAATTCTACTCCGTAAAATGATACTGGGAAGATGAACGACAAGTTTGGGGAGGAGGGTTGAGTTTTTTATTCTTTTTTATTATTATTTCTATTTACACTAGTTTTAAGAGATAATTGAGTTCACGTTACGTTAAATGAATGAAAAATGCAAATTGAATAAGTCATAAGAGAAAGATCGCTAGCGTTTCTCAAGAAGCAAAGAGTAAGATAAAACATGCGGCCACTCAAGTTGAACTACTGTGTAAACTCCGAAGTAATAGGAGTTATTTTCCAAATGGCTTTAATTTAATAAGCGAAAAACTTTTTAATCGTGTTTATGAAGTTTTATTAAATACTTTGTCTATTTTTAAGGCGAACCTTATTGCATTGTATGATATATCCAACCCTAAATCTGACTAATGATTGCTTGTTGGAAGCAATGGGATAGAAAAGTGGAAACTTCACCTCCCAAACATCCCCTACTCAATTGGGAAAAAACAAATTCAATAGAGGGTTAGGAAGAGTTTTTGTCATAACAAACATTCCCAATTCACTCAAGCAAACTATTGACTTGTACATTTGGGGCAGTTTAGTTCATCTTCTCAGCTACAGGGATAGGGGTGTGCTATCCATCCACCATTTTTTACTTCTCATACGTTCCTTGTTAATTTTTGTTCGTTGATCTTCTTCAATTCATCTGATCCGACGACCGAAAACAAAAAATGTGTGGAAGAAGTAAAAAGGGATGTGTGGATATCATACCCCTAGAGATAAACTTCGGGATTAGAATTGCTTTTATCATACCGATATAATTAGCAGGATCGAATGAAACCACCAACACATATTGTTCGACTGCTCCATCGAAGTTTTTCTTGCAAATTCTAACCCAACCACAAGTCAAATGTGTTCCGTGTGGAGTGTGAGAACTCCAACAGCGACCACACTACGACTTCTAATGGCTCAAGAAATCTCCCCAACAAGTAGTTCACGGTTGGCAAGCAACGCCACGTGGACACAGCCATTTCATAGTTGGCAAGCTATGCCACGTGGACACAGCCATTGGCCACTTCAGTTTTTCTAACTTTTAGATTTATTTTTTTTGAGAAATTAGGTTTTCATCCTTCTTTTTGCTACTTTATTAATTAAAATCTTATTCCTTTTCAATTTTTAATCAAGGTCTTTAGATATTAATAACATAATAATTGTTTTAATAATAAAATATTTTTTTTATTTCTAAATATATTCATTTAATGTTAAAAAAGTTACAATTATTATATTTATATTTATGACTAAATTTTTTATCATATATTTTTAATTTTAGTTTGTACCTATTTTTAATTTGTAATTTTTTTTAATTTGTACCAATTTTCTTTTCAATTTTAATTTGTACCCATTTATTAATTTATTTTTGTGTCCATATTTTTTAAAGTTTATTTGTATTTGTACCCATATATTTTTTTATTTGTACTTTTTATTTTGCTATATGTACCCATGATAATTATATGTACCCATTCATGTAAAAAATTTTAATCTTAAAATGTACTCATTCTTAAATATACCAATTTGTTATATGTAAAATGTACTTTTTTTTTTATATAAAATCTATTTAATTTTTTTTTCTAATCCATTTTTAAACTTACCCACATTCTTTTTTCTTTGATTTTAAAATGTATCCATGTCAAGTTTAATCGAACAAATTTACTAATGTTATTAAGCCTAATTTTTTTTTTTTTGTGATTTTGAAGAATGTACCCATGTTTTGATACAATAATTTTTTGGTTAATTTTGATGAATGTACCCATGTTTATACACACACACACAATAGTATGTTTATATTTTAATATTTTTAATCCCACAAATTATGGTTTTTTATTTAAAATCTCATTTATATAAACAACTAAAATTTCTATTTTCTAATTTAAAAAATATAGTAACGTACAAATAAATAAATTATCACATTTATTTCAAGAATCTCGATCAAAAATTAAAAATCAATAAGATTTCAATCAAAAAATATTTATAACTAAAAACCGTATCAAAGTCTTAATTTTTTTTCTTCTAATTAGACCACCACACATTACTGACGATCTCAAAATCATATCGAAGCAGACAATCACATTCTCCACAAGTAGCAGAAGGGGCTAGAGCCTAGAACGTAGACCATAGACGTGGCAACTGTCTACTGGGAGAGCACAACACCATAGGCACTTTAATGGGCCAGGCCCACATTCGGGCCGTGGATGTATAGCGTGCTACGTGGCAGGCAGGCCATGGTGGTTCAGAAAGTGAAGGCTGGGCCAACTGCACAAGGGTCCCTTTCCGTAGTCTGTTTCAGGAGAGGCGCAGGATAAGAAAGCAAGTGGGTGGGCGATGTGTCGAAATTGGGCCCCGGAATGTGATATGGGCTTTTGTTTGTATTGACAGGTCTGTCCCTGCGGGACCATCGACGCTCCTCTCCCGGCGATGGCACACGTGTACGGTCTCTTTCGTTGGTTCTAATACCCACGTGGCCGCCCACACCTCGTCAGCTGATTCAACGATCGAAGTGGGCCAGTGACTACACCTCTCCGGATCTCTTCCACCAAATTCATCCAATCAATTAATCTGAATTCTTTAAATTTGATCCAATGACTAAAATTATTATAACTTTTTAAGAGAACCCATATTTGTAGCCGTTGTATCAAATTTTAAGGATCCAGATTTATTGATTGGTGGACTTTGGTGGGAGAGATTTGGAGAGGATCTCTTCCGATTTGCTTTATGCATAGCAGGACAGTGGCTAGCGTGTTACATCTTCGTTTGATAATACAATGTGACGTGCAATGTTAAGTGTAAGTTTTGTTTCACATAATGTTTTTAGGATGATACTAGAGAGACCAATATTTTAAATTAAATTTGCAAATCAAATGATATGTCACAAATAAGAATTAAGCACGTTAATTAACACTTAAGTAATACATCAATCATCAACAACCACATCATTCGGTTTCTCTAGCATTACCCATATTTATATGGTTGGAGTGAAGGGGTGAGCCCATTTCATATAATTGACACTTTTATGCTTTGGGTTAGCTCATTGTTTTTATATAATAAAGCGTGTATAAATTTTTATGCTTGAAAGCACTTAAAGTGTTTTTCCAGAATTTACCTGCGTTTTTACTAAAAATTGGTTCCAAATATATTTTCACCAAAAACATTTTTAACCATTTTAAAAACGATTCCAAACAAATTTAATTATTTTCACAAAAAATACTTTTAAATATTTTTTACCAAAAACACTTAAATATTTTCACTCCCATGCATAAAGCTAGAAGGATTTTGGTCCTCACATGCTCAACCTTACTTTGGGCCACTTAAAGATACTTACAAATCACTCAAGCAAAAAGCAATCCAATCCTAAGCCCATAAGAAGGTTGGACTTGAACCAGTCATTCTTTCAACAAGATGCTCAACTCCATCCTTGAGATTCTCATGTGTCACCGGTTATATACAAACATGCACAAGTCCTCCTTGAAAGGAGACAGCTGAAGACTAGAACAGTTGTGGATACCCGAGGAGTGAAGAAAATTTGGATCAATGGTTGGGACCATTCATTCATATTCAGCGAACCACTTTGATCTAAACACATTCTGGTGCTTGAGAAATAGATTTAGACAAGCAGAGTGGATAGATTTCGATCGATGATTAAACCTATCCCATATGTTCCCAATCATTGTGTTTAACAGACAAACAAAATGCGATATTCATCAAATGACAAGACAAAACTCAATCGAAAGGTAAGCATATCGTAGATTGTAGCAACTCAGTTCCGATACATGTGCTTTGATTGCCCCGAACCACAGCTGAACAAATCATATTAGTAACAAAATGCGAGGGTATTCATAGAACTTCTACACCATGTTGTGTAATTAGTCAAACTATGCTTTGAAAATTTGACACAAATGAACATGTAGAAGCGAATAGAGAATGTATACAAGCTCAAAAATTCAATCGTCGGTAACAAATTTAAAATTTCATGTCAGTTTGATGAGCTTAAAGACTTCTTAAGATTCCGAAGGATGCTCCACATGAATGTGGAAATAAAGAAGAGGACACTACCAGTAACAACTGCATATTTGAGGCCAAGGTTCACCAGCAAATTTACCAGAAGCCCGGCCAACACAACACCAAAGAAATTTGCAGACACCGCTGACCAGAATGGCATGTCGAGAATGGAAGCTATGATGGCCCCTGTCCATGCTCCTGTTCCCGGGAAAGGCACAGCCACAAACAGCATCAGACCAAGCCATTGGAACTCCTCTACAGGGCCAGCTTTCTCTTTAGCCCTCACAAACAGCAAGTCAAGGAACCGAGCTGCAGCCTTGTTCTTTCCAGCAAGGAAAGATGCAAATCTCTTCAGGTAAAGTATGATGAAGTGCACAGGAATCATGTTCCTACAGATGCATAGTCCCAAACTCTGTCAATCCCTAACTTGGTGAATTTCAAGGAAAAATTTGACTAAACTACTCTTCTTAGGATCACAAATATCACATGGTACACGAAAATGCCATAGATAGTGCATAAAGGTAAAATGCTGAAACTTGAAGCACCCTTTTGATCAAATGGGCAAAAGCCAATAGGCCATTACGAGCGTCAGGATTTCAGACTGACATACTAGCGGCCTACTACTAATCACACCTATATACTATATTTCATTTTGTCTATTTACCGACGTGGGACGTTTTACATTCTTCAACAAGGAAAATGCTGAATGTATAAATTGTTTAAAAGTTAAGAACCACATTGCACAAATATTTCCATAAGCAGGCACATTCTATAAAACAGACACAAATCAATCATTAGAGACCTGTCAAACAACGTTGGTGAAACAAAATCCCAACAAAAATCAAGTAAAATGTCGAAAATGGCTATAGTGGAGAAAAATGACTAACCCAATAACAGATAGAACTGTTAGCAGAACAGGCTTAAGCTGCATCCAGTAACCAACAGGAATAGCCCCACGAAGCTCGATGACCGGAAGTGTGGCCAGAGCAAACACCACAGCCTCATCAGGCCAGCCGGAGCTTCGAAGCGCCGTCGCAATCTTCAGGCCAAAGTTGGAGGCTCTGATTGAATCCGCAGCCGCCGCAGCAGCAGCATTTGCATTTCCGGAAGCCGCGAACAAAGCAAGCGATACAGATGCCCAGACCAAAACCCAAAGGGCAAATTTGACCGGCCGCTCAAACAACGGCAAAAGCTCATCTTCCTCGTCTGTTTCAAGAAACCCACGTGAGGAAACTCGTGATGCAGCGCGAGCGAGGGGTGAAATTACAATAGAGGGGTTTAAATTGGGCAAAGTTTGAAACTTCAACTCAGCATTGGGGCTGGAAGGGGATTGTTTGATGTGGGTAATGATTGGACGGCTATTTTGTGGTGAAAATACGAAGTGGGTTTTTCTGAGAGACAAATTTGACGTCCATGGCGATGTGGATGCTGATAGAGATGCAGCCATTGCTGCAGAGTTAGGTGGACGATAGAACCCAAGGAGGATTGTGACTTGCGAATTGAGGCAAGGTTTTAGGGGGGTTCTGTTGGGGAGTTACTTCTCTGAGTGAGGATTTTACCGCGTCCAGGCAGGGATTTATGAACACCATCAGAATGTTTGGAGTGTGAATGAGTTGAGTATTTATCAAATATAGCAAAAAAACTAAGCCTTAATTTTAAAAATGTCATTTTTTTTATAAAAACTTTCAAATATAATCAAAATTCCACTTAAATAGACACAAATACCTTCAAATTTAACAATCAAATAAATTAAAAGTTTTTTAGCCAGAATGATTCGTGACATTGACATAACTGCTAAAAAATTACTTTTTAAGACACAACTAAGTAGTGGTAGATGAAGTCTTTATGAAATTGCGACGTCAAATTTTTTTTAAGTGAGGCATTTTGTGGAGGTAAACCTGTACACATTGTGTGTTTAGCATACATTCTCACACTTTGTTATATTTTAATTGTATATTTAAGTTAATATTGTTATATTCAACATAGGGTTAAATCATGTAAGTATAGGATTATGAGGTAAAACTTCTAAGAAGTACGGGAGGTGAGAGAGTTAATGGTCTTGTTATTATTTTAAGAAATAATAACTAACTTTAAAACTCTTTAAAAAATGGTATGGTTCCCTTGAAATGTATAACTTTTCTCCTATTTCTTCTTCTTCAACGTGCGCGGTAATCAACTATGCAACTAATTGTTTTTTTTTTTTTTTTGTTAAATCTGCTTCCTGGTGATTTTAAGTAAGAAGTGGGTGATGGAGTTTGTGATAATGGTGAATTGATTATTCTTCATCATGATCCGATACAATATCGTACCAAAAAAGAAAAGTGACTACAAATAAAAAATAAACATTGTCATAATTGTTTGAACATATCCACTCATTTTGTGCACTCGAATTCGAATGATAATCTCATGTCATAGCATTTTATTTTTCTTGGTGAACCGTACAAAATATGTTTCCTATTCATTTTCCGATAGATATTTACCCAAAAAGAAGGAAAGATATTTTCTACTCGAAGAAATAAAAGGATTCCATGACTTTTTACTGTTCAAGGACACCAATAGTCAACCCACTTTGACGGTCAAACTCCAAACTCGCATGTCATACGCTTCCACTCTATCGCAAGAACGCCGGGAACTGAACTGTGAACTCGCACATCTAACACCATGAGCCGGAAGAGAGACAAACCCTACTTCTCCCGCCACGCCCCCTACTCCGGATCGAAACGCCGTCGTCCCCTGCCTCCACATCCGGAACCCGAACCCGAGCTCGACAAACCCACTTACAAGCAACCGCCGCCGCCGGCTCTGATCGTAACAGGTCTCCCGCCCGACTGCTCTGTCCTAGACCTCAAGTCCCGGTTCGAGATCTATGGACCCATCTCCCGCATCCGCATTGACCGCGACGCGGTCGGCTACGTCACCTACCGTGCCGCCGACTCCGCTCAAGCCGCCATCGCTGCCTCTCTCGACCCATCATTCGGTATCACCATCGAATCCAAAAAAGTACTGATCTTTCCTCTTCAATTGACCCAAAGAAGCTTTCTTTTTACTATTTAGTTTCTGGGTTTTCGAATATTTGTTGAAATCTGGGGTTTTGCCGCAGCTGCAGGTGCTTTGGGCGACGGACCCACTTGCCCAATGGCGGAAGGGAGTCGGAGCTGGTGCTGAAAATAGAGATTCCGGTTCCGGGTCGTCGGCAAGTTCGAATCTTGTGAGGGCGGAGGTGCCGCTGAGGGGGCGCGGCAGAGGGAACAAGCTTGCTTCGGCAATAGTGAATCCCAGAGGCGGCGCTACTGCTGTTCCTGCCACTGCTGCTGAGAGTTCTTCGTCGGCGTTGGATGCGCCTTCCAAACCCAGAGAAATCGTTGCTTATGATGATATCCTGTAATACTATCAGCTGCGTTTTGGGATTTGGAGGGTTTAGTTTTGTAACATTAGCTATGGGTTTTAGTTCATAGAGATATGAGTGGGTATGAAGTTGCTTGAGTTAGCAGAGATAAAAGGTTTGGCTTTCAGATCATTGATGATTGATGTTTTATGTTTGTTTGTGAATCCGATGTTTTGCATTTGTTTGGTTTGTGATTCTGTATGCTCTTTTGTTTTATATTTTAATGAATTAGGCTGCTCCATGTTGTGAATAACGCAATGCAGTACTATAGTTGCTTCAAGCCTTCAGCTGTTCAACAATGTTGTTGTTCTGATTGTGAATGTGATTGCATTCTGTTTGTTGGGTTAGATTTAAGCAGCGGACCTATACCCGGCCTTGGAGGCAAGTGCCAGATTTTAATGAGTAGGAGAGGACACGGCAGCTGCCCAAAAACATGAACGGAGCTCTGCAGATCTTGGTGATTGTATCAAATATTCAAATCAGAACTTTGAAAGCGGCGGAGGGAATTTGTAACTCAACTGCAAGAAATATATGTAAATCTCAAAAGCTATGAAAATGTTTAAGCCCAAGATCTTTAGCCTAAAGACCCCACGATCGAGCAGTTTAATAGAACAGAATTGTAAAGCAAAGTAATTGAAAACAAAGAGCAGAGACTAGAGAGCAATCAGAGAATTGTTGTAATGGAAGAGAGTGAAGAAAGCAGAGGAGTAAAGCAAGAAGAAAGAAGCATGCAGCGAGCAAGAGCTATGGAGTTGGGGGGCAGGAGCGGACGGGCAGGCTACAGGACGAGCACGTCCCTTAACTGCTTCACCTCCCTACTCTCTCCTCTGCCGCCGGACCCATCTCCTTCCTCGCCTGCGGCGGCGCTCACGTTCTCGCCTTGACCTCAGGTCTCTTCCTTGCTTCCGTCTAAATATTACAAAAATACTATATTTTTCCTTTTTTTTTTCTTAGGAACGAAAAATAAAAAAAACCACCTTTATGCGGATGTATATGTTTTGTGACCCATTTGTCGATATGACCCATTTGTCGTAGTGTGTGATGTTTTCTGCAATCAATAGGCTGCAGGTGTTTCAGGAGATGAAGTTTATGGATTTGGTTCTGGAAAGCGTGATCAACTGGGTATCTCCAAAGGTAAGATAAAATTAATTAGTCTTTCCTGAGCGAACTTAAGGATTTGAAGGCGTGAAAATTGCAAGCATCGTTGCAAATGGAGATCATACTGCAGCATTATCTGGTGAGTGCAGCAAATCCCCCTTTCTTGATTTGGTCATATAAAGCTGATCACATTGCTCGTCATACGAATGTCCAGCTTAAAAATGTTCCAGTTCATGAAAGATCTAAGGACTTCCATGCTAGTTTGGTCCATAGTTTCCCACATAGTATAGAAGCCGGTGCTGTAGGAAGTACCGATTGAACACTATATGCCTCGGTAGTTTGATTCTCTGATTGCTGTTTTCTTTGTTGTCTATGGCGTCAGCTGAGGGGTACACTTGGGGAAGAGGGTTTGGCTGCACTTTAAGCACTCACTGTCCACAGTGTTTACCTACATCGTTCTCGTTTACCAAAATTGCTGTCGGAGGAATCATGCTTTAGTATTAGCTGGTATGCACATTGATTTCATGTTTTAACTAGTTCTGTGTATTCATCATCTGTGGCGAAAAGATGTCGTGTTTAAAATAGCTGCCCTGCCTCGGATATATCTTAAACAGGTGCGGAAGTTCATATGCTTGGTGGAAATCACCATGGAGTCCTTAGTAATCCTGAAAAAATGACTCCAGTAAAGCACTTAGCAGGTTAAGGCATTTCATCGTACAGATCTGAAAAGTACACTGGATATTTCTGGTAAGTTTAATGTATCTGAATGATCTTCATGCTCGAATTGTGATTGCTGCTGATTGCGTGTGTGATTCTTTCCGTCAACAGATTCAAAGTGAGTTGTCGTGGAGAAAATCCCCGGTCTCGGTGAGAGTAGAAGTGTGCAGATTGCAGCTGGAGCCGAGCACTCTGCTATTGTGACCGAGGATGGAGTGATTAAGACATGGGGTTGGGGTGAACATGGTCAGCTTGGCTTGGGAAATACAGATGCCAAACGAGTCCTCAAGAAGTGAGTTTCTGCCACAAATTTCGGGAAGAAGCCGACACAATCGAGATTTACTGCGGTAGCGGGTTTACAACTTCGTGTCGCCAATCTCAGACTGATTAACAACCTAGTTACCTGAGCTTTACCTAGTTCATGCGGTAGCAGGTTTACAGGGTCATGTTTTTTGGACTGAAAGGTCACGGATTCAAGTCATGAAAACAGCCTCAAGCAACCAACTTTACTTTCGAAACAAAAAGCCGCATACTTAAAATTGAGTCTGCGATCAGAGCTAGAAAAGTGAGAGTTTTCCGGAAATTTTCCCATTGAATTACTTGTCACAATTAAAAAATTCGGCCTTTACATGAAGAAGATTAGAAGAAAAGACGCCAACGGTGATGTTACATATGAATCATGACATAAAAGAATCACATTAGTTAATATCTACTGCCTATATCTTCAAGAATCTGGGGAAGAATTGCCGTCTCTGCTCGATGAATACCTTCTTATGCTTGTTGGGGGCTTCAGTTGCATGTGTTATGTTATGATCAGGACGTTGTTTTCATACCCGTTGTTGCGAACAATTGGGCGTAGGGGATCAACCCGCCATTCACCATCGGCAATGAACTTAATCTGAAATGCAAGATCCAAAAAACATTAATCAATGGGGTTCCGGAAATATAAAAGCTCAACCGGATAACAACAAAATTTACTTGCCTCGTATCTGCCCGGATACAATTTAAGGGACAAAGAGAAGACTCCTGTTCTCGACTTCTCCATCTTTCTCTGCAAGCAACCAACCAGGCAACAACATTTGTATTACAAAAGCAAGTAGAAGACCACTGCTAAGAAACATGGTGGTAGTACTGGTATTTCGAAAACGTAGGTAAATGCAAGTATAAATTACCTCATAAAACAAAAAATACATGCACATGATACAATAACTTATTAATCGTTTGCAGTATTTCTTCATCTAATAACGAAAGGAAAGTAAGAAAATAAATGAATGAGTGGACAAGGACATGCATCTACTCTTATTACTTAAGCCTAACCTAACTGATCAATTCAAGAGGAGATCAGACCTGGGTAGTCCAACCATCATATGATCCAGATATGAGCACTTCTGAGGCTGAATTTGGC